AAAGCAATAAAGTCTATTTATCGTTAACACAATAGTCTCTAACATTGATCATTAGTTTGCAATAAAGTCTACAGAATATTTTATTATAGAAAAAATATTGACCATTCTAATTAGTAGGGAAAAAAAGATTCTTCTTCTACAATAAGGAATCCTATGAAAGACTTGTTATGGAAGTTAGTTACATCACATTTTAAAATGAATATAAAAATAATATTATTCTCTTTTTATTAGTAAATATTTAATCTAATTAAAACTTCTAACAGTAATATATATATTGTAAAGTACATAAAAATTGAGATTTAGAGTATGGTTGATTTTTTATTTTTTTTTTAGCGCAATACTTTATATCTACGTCGAAAAAACAAGAAGTGTTTATTATAGTTTGTATCTATAATCCTTAAAATTTGACATTCAACATGAGACTCCTCCGTCATAACATTTTTACCCTTGCTCATATCATATAAGAAGTGATGTTATTCGATTTGTAACAACGTAATTAAGATGTAGTTAACACGAAAATGTGGGGAATTTGTATTATATTTCAATGTTTTTTCAGTACATGAGATCGGTTTTTAGCATGAACCGAGTTGATTATGTACACGTACGTAGGAATGTTCGAAATTAAATCCCTGTGCAAGAAATAATTTCAGCTATCTATTGTAGCTTTTCTTGCGTATTTCGAAGTGTGTACGGCCGCATTTAATGCAAAGTTCCTTTATGAGTCGGTTTGTGGCAGTTGGTCCCGTAGGGATGATGACGGAATGTGTAATACGTGATTGCTTCTCGCAGGTGTCTTGTCAACTGTTATTGCATTCGGGTTGACCGCCACGTCGGTTATGCAAGGAGACCCCGGTTGAGAGTGACATCGCATGTCGGTTTGGGGGCAACATCGGTCTTCGCCGGTCTATGAATGAAGTCGGTTTTCTCGTCCGGTCGGTGCCGAGGGGCTATAAGTTTGGCTGACACGGATTTTGCCTCCTTAAGTACTCTCAGCAAATATAAACAAGGCGTGACCAAGTCGGTTGTCAACAAGAAGTTTGATAGATGAATTTGGTTTCAATTATGATTCATAGACAACTTAAATTTTATTTATAAAAATAAATATAAGTTTTAATACATATATACATTAACGAGCATGTCAAAAATCGTCAAAAAAATATTAATTGATATATAATATATGAAAAAAAAAAAACCATTAACTTTTGAAATATATTAACAATTTAATTTAGATAACTATATTGTAATTTTAAAAAAATTTGAAGTCCAAATTTACAATAAATAATCCGAAACACAAAACATTGACACATAAAATTACGAAACACAATAACTATCTCTTAGCCTAAGAAGAACTATGTATTCATGTACAAGCAAGAATTTTGTCCAGTTACATTATATAATCACTATTTAGAAGAAAAAAAAAAAA